GATTCTTCTTCCAATTACCTTTTACCTATTCCTTATTTCTTTTCCATAACATCTTTTCCTAACCACGCGGACTTTAGAACTCTTCGTCGTTTATTTTTCTAACAGCTTCGTGGCCAAAATTTTTCCATCACCTCCTTTCCTAATCACGTGGTTGTACTCCACCGGGTAGCACCCTCTGTTCGACCTCACAGCCCACAGCCAAATCTACATAATGTCTTAATAACCCCCCTCCGAGACATTTACCCTGATGATGACAACTGAAGTGTTTGCCAAAACAATATAGAACCCTAACATTCGATGCGACTTATTCCCAACAGCCGAAGCATTACCCTCCAGCCGAGAAAAGCTAAAAACAAATCAATCAATCGTTCAGCTAATCAAAAAATAGACCTACGTCGTCTTTTATAGAACCAGAAAAGTTCATTACCATATTCAGAAGAGCCCGCCAATGGTCTCTGTTCTGATCAATATGAATCCACAACCTTCATTTAAAATATTTTAATATTATCTTCCCATAAGCGCCAAGGGCTTCATTACTAAAAACAAAACTTCAAGAAAATTGTGTTTCGACGTATTTAAGCACGTGCTTACTTAATTAATAGAAACACTCATACGCACATTATGAACTCAGTTAAAGCACATCTCCTGTACCTATTTATTTACCATCAGATTTAGTTTTAATGTGCTTCTAAACAAAGCAGGAAGAGTTATTAACCTGGATTCACCCTCACTAATTGCGACCTGTTGTAACCGTAGCCTGAAGGAGACCCCCTCGAGTTCTGATATAGCCGAAGGCTATCACACAAATTCATTAAAGACTCAGAATAGAGACTATTATCTACGGTACATTTATCATGTTCAAATTAGGCACACAATAGTATTCCAGCCATCAGAACTATTTTTTATTGGATGGACTTGATTTCCACTCGTGCGTTAAGAGTCAGTAATGCCATTAACACACTACAATTTGAAGTGATATTAACAAAACGTATTTAAGTCCATCACGGTGATTTTCACTGCTTGTTTTAGAAGAAGGAGTCCTGATCGTTTAAATGAAACCCATTGCACTTAAAGTCGAATACCGATAGTTATGACCAAGTACTTACGCCGTAGATAAGAGGTCAAAGTTCTAATCCCAAATACCGATCAGTCTGTCATATTTTTCATATTAAAATTCAACTGGGATTTGACCAAGTGCATTGCTACTGACTTCTCTTCGGGAAGTACCAAGTTTAAAATTAGACTAAGAAATCAGTTAAACCGATCGACTTTTCTATGCCCTTTCAAATTAAGGAATAAACTTAAAATAGGCTACGACCGTTCTCTTCGACATCATCTCCTACTAATAGCTGTAAATAATTCTGACATTTAATTCAACACAACGTAACCTCTTCGTTTGTACAGACTGGTTAAATTACTCACCAATAAGCTATGAATAAATGGACGAACCTCTAGGATATTCTCAGTATTCTTTGTGAATTCTAAGTTAGCACCTCCAAATGCACATTACAGCTTCAGCCTTTATGCAGTGTTTAATCTTTTTAATTTTCCATTTCTCTTTGCAGTTAATTCGGTGTCATTATATGTATATCTTACAAATGTAATTTCCAGGTTTTCGTTGCACATAAACAGACCAATACCACCACTTCAGCAACGCGAACTCATTCATAATTTATCAACACTGTAAAACGTAAGGAAAAGCTGCCTTCAGTACAGGCCTTGAAGGCGCTTCGGAGGAGCAAAGGAGGTATACCTCTTACTGGTTCTTAACTTCGGCACTTGATGGGGTGAGTAATCAGCGTCACACCCCGACTGTGCTTTACTCCCGGGGATGGGATCTAAGGTACTCATTAGATAAAAGACTGGATGAACCCCAGATTAGGTTTGGACGTAGAGACCAAAATAATGCTTTGTCCCATCAACATTGTAATTAACTGAATTCATAAATATACAAAAATTATAATAATTATGCAATATGATTCTAACTCCAGTTTATACATGATTTAATTATTAATTACAAAAGTTATATTTAAAAGGTAAGACAATATTAAACTGAGAGATGTGGTAATTATATTCGGTTACACAAAGCGGATAAAAGTGGGATCGCGAGATTTTTAAATTACGGCAACATGAATACTTGACACTATTTTGAGTTCTAACGCCATGCGGACTGGCCGGTGGTTTTAACGTTTCGGAGAAGCGTACTGACTCTACCTTCAGAAATTCAGCCCCGAAGATGGAGACAGCACGCTTCACCTTGTAAACAAAGTAATGAACCTATGGTTCCGTAAGAATGGGAACGTATTTTACCGAATAACTACCTGCCAGATTTTCTTGAAAGGTACTGCACCTAACAATTAATCAACAACCACATTCCTCTACAAATTATAACACACGAAATTACCCCACCAATGACTAAATTAAATAGGCGGATAGTATGTTATTGAATAAAGATCTATAAACTGAAAAGGTTATTTAGCTTTAAATAATATAATTTGGGAAGAATCGGAAGTGGCCTATTTCGAGGTACTAACCCACATTCGCCATGAGGGACTGGGGGAAAACACGGAAAACTTGAATGAGGATGGAAGGTGTGCTCATCGAGATTCTAACTTGACATCCGAATACAAGCGTGAAGCTTTACCTCATGAGCCAACTTAATCGGTTTTTCTAAAATGAATAAACACGCCATCTAATCTGTAAATGCTAGAAGACGGATTTAAATACTGACGCTATTTTCCCTTAAGAAGTCACCTTACATTAAAGTTTAAAAAGGGGGAGGGTGTAATGGTTTTGTTTTAGTAGCAAATTTTTATAGTTGGTTCTTCTATATTTTACACCTCTCACAAAATAACATTTATGTGTCGGATGTTTTAACATCGCCTTCTTCCAAAACGATTCTTTATGGTGGCTGCAGGTGGACACCAGATGGACAAGACAAGAATAAGAAATGCACAGAAGGCACGAGGTGACAATGCAGAAACAAATGAACAGCAACTTAGATAAAAAAAAACGAATGTGCTTTGGACATACAATTGGCACCGAGTCCTACATTACTTTACTGTGCAGTTAAGTTTAAAACTTCATTGTTGTATTTTGTTGTTATAATTCAATTCCTTATTATTAATATGCTGTATCAACAGCCAGAAGGCCAATTACAGATACAGCACAAGGAAAATATAGTGAATACAATAATAAATTCAATTCATTTATTAAAGTGCTTAATAAGAGCCAAAAGGCCAATAACAGCCAAGCACTAACAATACAAACATTACAATACAAAAACAAACAAACAATAACTAAATATATAAATGTACAGTGTTAATTTATTGCAAAATAATTAATAAGTAAATGAAATAAATATACCTAAGTCATATAATTCAATTAATAATACTAAATAAAACAAAACAGAAAACATTTATGAAATTAATACCACAAAAT